AACAATTCCCATTGCTAATTCCATCGTCATATCACGATAGACATTTATGACGTCACATTTTTTATCGCCAATGTGTCAACGTATTGGCGACGGAATTGCTTCTGTCGTCCCATTCTGTAGCGAAAATAAACTTCACTTAGAATATTAAATATTTTCGCAACGAAAAAAATAACCGTCGCAAATTTCGTCGCTAACCTCAAACGTAAAATCTATCTTTGCGCCAAACATTGCAACAAAAATCATTTTCGTTGCTAATTTCATCGCTGTATCGCGACAGCCATGTAGCGCATCACATTTTCTGTCACGAAGTGTCAACATATTAGCTACGGAATTGATTCCGTCGTCTCATTTTGTAGCGAAAATAAATGTTACTTAAAATATTAAATATTTTCGTGACGGAAAAAATAACCGTCGCAAATTGTGTCGTCACCCACTCACCCTCCGTCGTCAATTCATATCACAAAGATTACATGAGGTTATTTCCCACTTTGCGCCAAACATTGCAAAAGAATTCATTCTCGTCGCTGATTCTGTCGTAGAATCGCAACGACCGATGTTTCCGTTGCCTTTTCCGTCACCACTGTGGTGACAGAACTTAATTCCGTCGCAAAATCTGTCACCAAAATGTGGCGCCAAAATTTCCCTCATTTTTTTTTTCATTTTGCGCCAAAAATCGCTACGGAATTGAACTCCGTCACCATTTCCGTCTCAAAATCGCAACGGAACATATTCCGTTGCAAAATCCGTCACGAATCGACAACGTATTATGCTCCGTCGCGATCTTTCCGTCGTGATTTGTGATTTTTCTTGTAGTGCAACCGTATAGACCGCCGATAGGTCGACGGCGGATCACAGTCCTACACACCGTTGACGCGCTCAGTTGGTGGACTGCGATCATCTTTTGGGGACTATGACCCTACACACCGTTGACGAGCACAGTCGGTGAATCGTAGCGAATCAAGCCCTACACATCGCCTGAGGGACTCATTCGATGGGCGATGATCCTCGGAGACTACGACCCTACACACCGCTGGCCCTTCACTGGGTGGATCGCAGCCAACCATAGCCCTATACACCGCGTGATCACTCATTCGGTGGGCTATGGCCTTCCTCAGTCGGTGGACCATCTGCACACGAGGCCCATGTGGGCTATAGCCCAAGAAGTGAATCACTGACCGCGGCCAGGAAAATGAACCGCAGCTCATGAGTAACCAATTTGACCGCAGCCAACTTCTGAACCGCAGCTCAGGAACTCCCAATTTGATCGCAACCAAATTGGGGAATCATGCATCATATAACACATAGTTGCACGTATTGGCACATTGGGAAGGGGGGAACGCATAAATAAACTTACGTGTGATCATTCACATACTAAGAATAGTCCTAAGGGGTTCATACAACTTTCACCTAGGCCAACGGGTTACCGATTCAGCTAGCATGCAATTCCTAAGACTCTTCTACCTTACGAATGGTACCCGAAACACCAAACAAGACTCAAGCACGACAAACGGGGTCCGTTGGGACACCACGGGGAATGGGGAACATCAAACGGGGAAGCCAAAGACCGGGGTGGGTGACAAACTAGCAGGTAGCCGGTGGGTGGAGGGCAACCCGCCGGCGGTGAACTTCCGGGCAGCGGGTACCCGGCGGGCAGACGTCTGCCCGCCGGCTGCCCGCTGCCTGGCGATTTTCCTTGGGCAGCGGGTAGGTGGCGGATCCCCCTACCCCCCACTGACTCTTTATCAAATATAACGTCATGGGATCCTTTGTGGAACCCGAAACCATGCTTAGACACTTTTTATATGCAAATAACGACACCACATAGGCAATTAACGGATCAAAAACAACAATCACATAGAACATGACCTATCATGACTCCTAAACATAATCAACACCCGAACATGTGAATTCCCACCCAAATATACCAAGAAAATCCCAATACGAAATTCATGATTCCACCTAGGGCTCTAATCATATTTAAATCACAAAATCATGCTTCATCTTTAAATATCAAGAACGTCAAGACTTATCAAGAACACCACATAATTATCAAGATTCCCTTATCATCATCAAGATCAACAAGATCACACATAAAATCATCAGAACAATTATCGAGATCATATCATAATTATCATAGAAGATTTCACCAAGACACAAGTATAGAATAGGGAGCCAAAGAAGGAGAATATAGCAAGGAATATAGGTTTTGTTGAGACATGGGTTACCTCATTCGCTTATTAGTCCAAAACACCATCAACGGAACCTGTGAATCAAATCGGACTTTTCACTAAATAATCGAGCTAGTAAAATAGTTAAACCCTAAGGAATTTGATCCCTAGATTTCCCCTCAACACTGAGAGCACTCTACCCAACTAAGCTAAACACCCCTTTGATTAATTAATAAAACTAACCTAAATTCCGCCTTACCCAGATTCAAACCCTGGTTGGATTTACAATGAAGCCTGCACCTTACTGACTAGGCTAAACACCCTCTTGGTGACTTTACTAATAATAAACCTTTTTATTCTAAGTAGTCAGGACTGACTAAGGTGGCAACTTACCTTCATCTTCTTCTTCGCTTCTGCTTCGTCGAGGTACCGCGGTCGCTCCACTGTTGCGTCTTTCTCCGGCCAGTCACCCGCTGCCCCCGTACCAGTACGCACGCTAGATGGAGGAGGGTTGTCGTCGTAGCCGAAGGGCGCTCGAAGGGGGAGAGCCACCGTCACGTAAGTCCGCCGTTGCCGTCGTTGAGCCGTCCGTGCTGTATATCGTCGTACCACGATTGCCCGTCCGCAGCGGAGGGTCGAGGGAGAGAAAGGTTCATTGTTTAGAGCTCAGGGAAGGGTTTTTGTCATGGTGAGTGTGGCGTGAGAGAGGGCGAGGGTGGTGGTGCGTCGGGAGTTCGCCGGCGGCGAGAGAGGGAGAGAGAGCGACGTGATGGAGGTGGGGGGGGGGGGGGGGGAAGAGGATCATCCGATACGTATGTGTGTGTATGTATTTCGTATTGTATGTCTATCGTACGGGTAGGGGTATTGTATGTATATACATATATATTTATATATGCGTATATAGAGTATATCCTAATCCATCTATGTATATATGTATTATTATTATTATTATTATTATTATTATTATTATTATTATTATTATTATTATTATTATTATTATTATTATTATTATTATTATTATTATTATTATTACTACTACTACCTTTAGTAATAGGATTAGGTTTCTTGGTTTAGATGGGCCAAGGTTGAACAAGTTTGGGCTTGGTATAACACTAATTGGGCATATGGGATATAAATATATATATATCCTATGTATATATTTGGGCTCAGGATTTGGGTATCTAATATCATAGCCTATATACTAATTATCCAAGGTCCATAGTGACATATTTAGGCTTTATGGTCTTTATTATAGGCAAGGGTACATGGTCCTCCGTGGACAACATTAATCGATTAATGGAAATTAACTCCCTATTAACTGTTCTTGGCGAAATTAATTATATAATTAATCTCGGGTTTGGAGATCGTAACACGGGTTGTTACACTCTCCCCGCTTTACAAGAAGCTTCGTCCTCGAAGCTTAGAAATTATTTTGGGACAGAGGGTCGAAACTGGTATGGTGGTCATGAGGGAATATATTCAACGGGGAAGTATACGTAAGCATCTACCTACGTACCCTAGGTCTTGGGAGTGGTGTGGGTTAAGAGGATAAAGAGAGTGAAGGATTTAGGTTTCAATCTCGAGGGCAGGGTTGGTTAGGAATGGGATCAATCATCAAGGTTTTCAAAGTTGCAACTTAGGAAAGAAGGTTGCCCCCTTGTATGGGATCGTTTGGAAATGAGGGATCAAGAGGGAGGTTTTGGAATGGTAGGATGGAGTTTCTCAACGAAACGGTACTTGGCAGACAAGGAAGGAAAGGATTTTGGCTGGAGTAGGGCTAAGGACTCTCGTCTTCGGGCGATTATTCCTGTTTGAGGATTGATTGGGATGTAAAGACGAACTGATGATCCTTTTTCCTCTGTTTTGGCTTTGTTCGATTCCAAGATTTTCGTTTGATCTTTTCTTCCCATGCTGTAGTTTCCTTCATTTTTATCGCTTTCGAAGGAAATCTCGTGATGGATTACACGCATATTCCCCCAGAATGCTTAAAAGTCTGGACCTAGTCAGTTAGTAAGGCCAATCCCCAGGTCTTGACTCTCAATTCTTGCCGAGGGTTCCTAAGGATCAAGGGGTTTTCGGGTTGGCTTCCTTGTTCTATCGAGTTTCATCCCTTCCTTGGCGGATGAAATTCTTAACAAGACCTTATGTCCTCCTTGAAGTTTGGCTTGTTGCGCCTTTCTAGTGATGCTTTTAGTAGGGAGAGCACCTGACACACCTTTCTTTCTCTTGGAACGCAGTCATTTATTACGGGATGGCTTGGTGATCCGTACGGTTGTTCTATTTCCTTGTTGGTCCTTAAGGTCATGGGGGTCTTAACATGGTTTCCCAAAAGAGGGGGATATAAATTTAGAGTAATCGTAACGATTCCAATGCTCGTCATAGCTTAAGGTTTCCAAGGGCTCAAGTTAGGTGTAACAAAGGGTGACTAAGGGCGTAATGGATGCGAACTGCCTTCAAGAATAATTAGGGATTCGAGGTAGGAGTTTCAACAAATAGGGATATCAAGATGCTGAGATTTCAGGGCGGATGATATTTTAAACTAAGGTGAAGGGGTCACAAGACGACGCGATATACTTACCTTGCACCTAAGGATTTAACTAACGGTGTCATCATCTGCCACTTCACTTTCTCGTATTAATTAGCGTCCTAGTTCTCTTTCCTGTTTGTTGTAGCTGTAACCTGTGCTTGCCGAGATAAAGCAACTTGCCGGAGGGTGCATGCCATTTGCTTGAATCGGGGGTCACGGTCTTCGTCAAGTCCTTGGCGGGAACTAGAGCGAGGAGTCTTACCGGGCATGTGTATGTTACCTAGTTATGGAGGTAAACTTATCTACTTGCACCCTTACCTGGTGCTTTAACTAAAAGAATTGAAGCTAGGTAAAGAACGAGTACGGGAACTTAAATGGAAGCGGTAAGCTCACAGTCTCACCGCGTGTCCTAAGGCTCCTATACCCTAAGTACTTTAAACACCTAGAATTCAAGCCTAATGTCCTAAAGTCCCTTCCTAAAGATCTCTAGTACTGAAAATTCAAACCTAATGTCTTAAAGTCTCATCCTACAAGCATTGTCCTAGGGTCGAACTTAGGCTCTGATACCAACTGTAACACCCCGAAATTTTGAAACTTTTAAAACTTATATAATAAAGGTGAATTCTCATTAAATCCCAAATTCAAACATAAGAGTGCGGGGTGCTATGCCACATCTGAGCTGGAGAACTCAGATGCACAGGCTAAACTAACTAAATATCCTCAAGAAATGTCAATACATAATCATGGCACGCAGGCCGAAAAGGGAAACTAACTAATCTACGCTCCGGATCTCTAGCACACTCCGGGGTCTACTCATCTGTGCCTGAAAGCCAAATATATCTGTTCAGCGAATGATGCTGGTAACCCACTCCAACGTGTTAAAATACAATATAGGTAAATATATATGTAGATATACGAAAACCATTTTGAAGCAGGAAGATATATACTTAGGGGACTCTAGCTTTAATATAAGGGATAGACTCGACAAGTAGGGGTAAGCATATTCAACAATGATAAACAGTTATATAGAGACAACATCATAAAGAGCATGTATCTAAGGTCACAGTTCACTTTCAAATCATTCACATCATCATTCAATCATCATTCAAGTCACACAAGCACACTTTGGTGGCGCCACGGGACCAATCGCATGCCCCGAACATGAGGGTTAGTGCATATAGCACTAACACGGCCCCGCAGCACCCTACCTCATACCACAGCATGAAGGGGTTGATCGCAACCAACTGTATAGACCGCCGATAGGTCGACGGCGGATCACAGTCCTACACACCGCTGACGCGCTCAGTCGGTGGACTGCGATCCTCTTTTGGGGACTACGACCCTACACACCGTTGACGAGCACAGTCGGTGTATCGTAGCGGATCAAGCCCTAAACACCGCCTGAGGGACTCATTCGGTGGGCGATGATCCTCGGAGACTACGACCCTACACACCGCTGGCCCTTCACTCGGTGGATCGCAGCCGACCATAGCCCTACACACCACCTGATCACTCATTCGGTGGGCTATGGCCTTCCTCAGGCTGGTGGCCCTACACACTGCTGGCGCGTCCAGTCGGTGGACCATCTGCACACGAGGCCCATTTGGGCTGTAGCCCAAGAAGTGAATCACTGACCGCAACCAGGAAAATGAACCGCAGCTCATGAGTAACCAATTTGACTGCACCCAACTTCTGAACCGCAGCTCAGGAACTCCCAATTTGATCGCAACCAAATTGGGGAATCATGCGTCACATAACACATAGTAGCACGTATTGGCACATTGGGAAGGGGGGAACGCATAAATAAACTTACGTGTGATCATTCACATACTAAGAATAGTCCTAAGGGGTTCATACAACTTCCACCTAGGCCAACGGGTTACCGATTCAGCGAGCATGCAATTCCTAAGACTCTTCTACCTTACGAATGGTACCCGAAACACCAAACTAGACTCAAGCATGACAAACGGGGTCCGTTGGGACACCACGGGGAATGAGGAACATCAAACGGGGAAGCCAAAGACCCGGGGTGAGTGACAAACCAGTGGGCAGCCGATGGGTGGAGTGTAACACCCCGAAATTTTAGAACTTTTGAAACTTATATAAAGAAGGTAAATTCTCATTAAATCCCAAAACATAATATAATGGAGTACGGGGTGCTATGCTACACCTGGACTAGAGAGCCCAGGTGTACAGGCTAACTAACTAATATCCTCGATAAAGTAAATACATAAGCATGGCACGCAGGCCGAAAGGGAACCTATCTACTCTATGCTCCAAATCTCTAGCGCGCTCCAGTGTCTACTTCTCTGTGCCTGAAAGCCAAATATATCTGTTCAGCGAGAGATGCTGATTACCCACTCCAACGCGTTGAAATACAATACATATAGGCATACGTATAGATATAAAAAAAAAACCATTTTGAAGCATGAAGATATATCCTAAGAGACTCTAGCTTTTAAACAGGGAATAGACTCGACAGATAGAGATAAGCACAGCCAATAGTCATAACCAAGCATATACGGTTTACTAGCATGTATCCTATGGTCACGCTTTCATAACATTCGTAACACCAAACCATTCATATCTCATCACATAGCACACTTTGATGGCGCCACAGGACCAATCGCATGCCCATACATGAGGGTCAGCGCATATAGCTCTGACACGGCCCCACAGCACCCTGCCCCGTATCGCAACACGGAGGGGTCGATCACAACTGACCGATGAACCGCAGCTCATCATAATGTTTGATCGCAACCAAACAGTGGACCGCAGCCCAAGAGTAGTCATCTGACCGCAGCCAGGAATATGAACCGCAGCTCATGTAAAACGTATGATCGCAACCAAACGGTGGACCGCAGCCCGAGAGTGTAATTCTGACCGCAGCCAGCTTCTGAACCGCAGCTCAGGAATAACCAATTTGATCGCAACCAAATTGGGGTATCATGCACACATAACACATAGCAAACACATGCAACCCACATTGACACATTGGGAAGGGGGAGAAATCGTATAACGAAATCTATGCGTGATCATCCACCTACTAAGAATAATCCTAAGGGGTTCATACTTCTTACACCTAGGTCAACGGGATACCGATTCAACTAGCATGTAATATATAAGACTCATTCATCCTACGAATGGTACCCGAACATCAAACTAGACATAGGCACGATAGACAGAGTCCGTTGGGACACCACGGGGGGTCGGGGGAACAACAAACGGGGAAGCCGGGACGTCGCCCGACGGGCAGTCGCCTGCCCGCCGGTTGCCCGCTGCCAGCGACGTCCATTCTGGCCGCGGGTAGGTGGCGGGTCCCCTACCCCCACCTACCCCCCACTGACTCTTTTTCACAAGTAACGCCCCGGGAACCCTTGTGGAACCCGAAACCATGCTTAGACACCTTTAAACGCAATTGATGACAACACGTAGACAATTAACGGATCAAAAGCAAGAAACATACGGCACATATCCTATCATGCTTTCTAAACATAATTAACACCCAAACATGCGAATTCCCACTCAATATATCAAGAATAACACCACACGAGTTTCACGATACATCCTAGGGCTCTAATTATATTTAAATCATCAAGAACGTAATTCATCCTTTAATAATCAAGAACCAATCCAATTTATCAAGAACATCACACAATCATTAGGAATCTAGGTTTATCAGGAATATCACACAATCGTCAAGAATCTTTTTCCATCATCAAGATTATCAAGATTACCCAAGAAATCATAACATCAATTATCAAGATCACACCATCAATATCATAGACGAATCATCAATACACAAGAATGTAGAGGGATGCCTAGAGGGAGATCATAGCTAAGAAAATAGGTTTTGTTGAGACATGGGTTACCTCTTAGCCTTAATTAATTTCCTTGGCTATGAAGGATCTTTCTCTAAGTCTTTCTTCTTTCTTGATTTCTCCTAGGGGAATTCTTGGAGCTCCTTGTGTGGTGAGAGATTATTGTGGTGTGGGTTCTAGGTGCCTCCTATGTCCCCTATTTATATATCTAAGAGTCCTAGTTAGGGCCCAATACTATAGGCTTGCTAACTCTATTCCTTTTAGGACTAGGGGTTGGGTTTAGAGATGAGGGCCCATGGACTATGGTGGGCCTTTTCCTAATTAATTATTGTAATTTAATTCTTTCTTTGGATAATTGGTTAAATGATTAATTGGTTTTAGGGGTCGTAACACGGGGTGTTACATGGAGGGCCACCCGCCGGTTGCCCGCTGCCTGGCGGTGTTCCTTGGGCAGCGGGTTTGTGGCGGGTCCCCCTACCCCCACCTACCCCCCCCCCCACTGACTCTTTATTAAATATAACGTCACGGGATCCTTTGTGGAACCCGAAACCATGCTTAGACACTTTTTAAATGCAAATAACGACACCACATAGGCAATTAACGGATCTAAAACAACAATCACATAAAACATGACCTATCATGACTCCTAAACATAATCAACACCCGAACATGTGAATTCCCACCCAAATATACCAAGAAAATCCCAATATGAAATTCATGATTCCACCCAGGGCACTAATCATATTTAAATCACAAAATCATGCTTTATCCTTAAAAATCAAGAACGTCAAGACTTATCAAGAACACCACATAATTATCAAGATTCTCTTATCATCATCAAGATCATCAAGATCACACATAAAATCATCACAACAATTATCGAGATCATATCATAATTATCATAGAAGATTTCACCAGGACACAAGTATAGAATAGGGAGCCAAAGAAGGAGATTATAGCAAGGAAAATAGGTTTTGTTGAGACATGGGTTACCTCATTCGCTTATTGGTCCAAAACACCATCAACGGAACCTGTGAATCAAATCGGACTTTTCACTAAACAATCGAGTTAGTAAAATAGTTAAACCCTAAGGAATTTGATCCCCAGATTTCCCCTCAACACTGAGAGCACTCTACCCAACTAAGCTAAACACCCCTTTGATTAATTAATAAAACTAACCTAAATAAAACTAACCTAAATTCCACATTACCCATATTTGAACCCTGGTTGGATTCATAATGAAACCTATGCCTTACCAACTAAGCTAAACGCCCTCTTAGTAACTTTATGAATAATAAACCTTTTTAACCTAAGTAGTCAGGACTGACTAAGGTGGCAATTTACCTTCATCTTCTTCTTCGCTTCTGCTTCGTCGAGGTACCGCGGTCGCTCCACTGGTGCGTCTTTCTCCGGCCAATCACCCGCTGCCCCCGTACCAATACGCACGCTAGAGGGAGGAGGGTTGTCGTCGTAGCCGGAGGGCACTCGTAGGGGGAGAGCCACCGTCGCATAAGTCCGCCGTTGCCGTCGTTGAGCCGTCCGTGCTGTATATCGTCGTACCACGATTGTCCGTCCGCAGCGGAGGGTCGAGGGAGAGAGAGGTTCATTGTTTAGAGCTTAGGGAAGGGTTGTTGTCATGGTGAGTGTGGCGTGAGAGAGGGTGACGGTGGTGGTGCGTCGAGAGGGTGGTGCGTCGGGAGTTCGCCGGCGGCGAGAGAGTGAGAGAGAGCGACGTGACGGAGGTGAGGGGGGGGGGGGGAAGATGATCCTCCGATACGTATGTTTGTGTATGGTTTCTTGGTTTAGATGGGCCAAGGTTGAACATGTTTGGGCTTGGTATAACACTAATTGGGCATATAGGATATATATATATATATATATATATATATATATATATATATATATATATATATATATATATATATATATATATATATATATATATAGCCGGGTTCAGGTGCGGCAGTGTCTTACGGTGCGGCAACACCAATAGTTCACCAAATATGCACCATCAACGTTAGGAAATACACCACTCAAAACAGAGTAAACAGAGCCCTGCATCACCAAACACACACCATTAGGTGTGAGTAAAAACACCATACACTGTTCGGAAATACACCATTGGGGGTGGTGAGTTATATGGTGTGTTTTTTTGAGTCTGTGGTGTATTTTGTGATGTTTTATTACATTTCATTGGGGTATGTTTTTATTACACTGTTGGTGCATATTGTTAACACTGTTGGTGTATTCTGGAATTTGACCGCACCGCCGCACCGTAAGACCCCGCCACATATGAGCGCTCTTCTATATATATATATATATATATATATATATATATATATATATATATATATATATATATATATCCTATGTATATATTTGGGCTCAGGATTTGGGTATCTAATATCATAGCCTATATACTAATTATCCAAGGTCCATAGTGACATATTTAGGCTTTAGGGTCTTTATTATAGGCAAGGGTACATGGTCCTCCGTGAACCACATTAATCGATTAATGGAAATTAACTCCCTATTAACTGTTCTTGGCGGAATTAATTATATAATTAATCCCGGGTTTGGAGATCGTAACACGGGGTGTTACAGTCGTCCCCCACCAACAACCACCAACAAGACCACCGATTCATAGTACACAAGGTAACGATCACACACACGGAAACACATGCCACCCAAGAAATACGTGAACCCATCACTCAGGTCACAAACTCCATAATCGCGTCATGGCCACCACGAGGACCACTGCCGTACCTTGGTGACAAATGTCCCATACCATTAATCGTGCAATCCAAGTACAGACACACAAACCACACCACAACAGGAATCAATCAACGGATCACAACGAAGATATGAAACCATACTCAACAAGGAAATAGACCACAGTCCAACAACAACGATGATTAACACAAGTCACCATCAACAATAGGAAAGGACAAACAACACACACGCTAGCATTTAAACATCGAACTAGCATGCTTATCAAACGGGTAAACCGAAAGTAGTTCCGAAGAACACACAATTCTCACCATGATTCAACGAATCACAATGTTGTACACTTAGCACGATTCAAGACACCAAAACCTACATGGATTCCTACCATATAGTTCTAGACATACGAAACATCAAGAAGACACTCAAATAGTTCCACAAAAGAACATCGGGAAGTTAAAAGACCAAATACCGAGTCAAAAGAATCACGGGGAACAAATCCCCGCACAACCAACATAGTGTACCGTGGGTGGGGCCACGGGTGGACCCCCACCCGTGGTTCTGCCCGCGGGAACCATATCCCACACCACTTGTACCCCGCGAGTGGGGCGGCGGGTGGACCCCTACCCGCCGTTCCGCCCGCGGGTACATGTCCTGTACCAAAATAATCCCTTCGAGGATTTTCAACTCCAAGCTCAAATTCAAGTAAAAAACATGCCAACTCTCACCAAATACAACAAAATGACTTGAATCAAAGGAATAGCCAAGCAATGGCATACAAGAACCCTAAACACATGCTCTAGATATGCATTTTCACAAGACAATGCATCAACACTCACATTTCATAGCAAAACACATGTTGAATCCAAGAAATCATCATATAGGTAAACAAAATAGATTTTGTAGAGCATGGGTTACCTCTTGAAGACTTATCCTTCACTTACAACACTCCACAAGGCTCCCAACAAGGTTCCCTTTCCACACCCACTTCAAGAACACACCAATACAACATAAAGATTTCACCTTTATAAAAAGATACCATAGAAAATACTAAAAACACAAGAGGAGCTTAGATCTTACCCTCCTAGATGCTCAAAAGTATGAAAGGTAGAATCTTGAAAGCAAACTTGAAAGATCTTGGTAGCCCTAGGTGTGGCTTGGAGAGAAAGCTAACTAGCTTTTAGAGAGAAGAGAGAGAGCTTATGATTTTTCTCGTGTAGAGTGTTTGAAGAAATGAAATGTGTCTTCCTAGGTTAGCTTGAAAGACTATTGCCAAGGAAATGTCTCATTTACCCTTACTAAGATGAAATGTGTAAGTGAACAAGGGAACAACTCACAAAGCTTTAGGTACAACTTTTGACTTTGTGTTGACTAGTCAATTACTAGTCCCCGACTATTGAATTTTTAGGAATTTAAGGAATTAAATTAGCAATTGGATTAGGATTAATTACTTAATTAATCCCTTAATTGAATTTGGATTACGGGGTGTCACATGAATAAACTTTTAAACCGTTTTCGCAAATACAACAATTGCAAA